GGGACCAGGCATGGTGACTCACTCATGTAATCCCAGCACTTTGGGAAGCTGAGGCGGGTGGATCACCTGAGGTCAGGAGTTTGAGACCAGCCTGGCCAACATGGCAAAACCCTGTCTCTACTAAAGTTACAAAAATTAGCCAGGTGTGGTGGCGCACGCCTGTAATCCCAGGAGGCTGAGGCAGGAGAATCGCTTGAACCCAGGAGGTGGAGCTTGCGGTGAGCCGAGATTGTGCCACTGCATTCCAGCTTGGGCGACAGAGCGAGACTCCGTCTCAAAAAAAAAAAAAAAATAAATAATAAAAAAAAATAAAAAATAAAAAAATAACCAAGTTTGGCCGGGCACACTGACTCACGCCTGTCATCCTAGCACTTTGGGAGGCTGAGGCAGGAAGACTGGTTGAGCCCAGGAGTTCTAGACCAGCCTGGGTAACATAACAAGACCCCACCTCTAAAAAAAAAATTATTTTAAAAAAACAAAAAAAAAGCCTTACTAGGGTCTCTCCAGAGAGAGGAAGAGCCAATCATGAGACTAACCCACGTTAAAGACCTGTCTCAGCTCTGCCGTTTAATAGTTACGGGATGTCAGGTAAATTTCTTTACCTCTGTGAGCCTCAGTTTCGTCTTCAAAATGGAGAAAATCGGGTACTTCCCCTCTCACCCCCCAAACGCGGTCTTACTTTTCTCTGGCAAGGGCAGGGCTGTTGGCTTCAGAAATATTTGCAAGGGTGGCCCCTGGTGGAAGAAATGAGAACCGCTGCCCAGGCGTCAGGGATGGCTTCAGGGCTGTCTGGCAGAAACCTGAACTTCATGTCTAGCCTTGTAAGATAGGACAGCGGGAATTTTTATAAAAGAGCACTTGGATGAAATAGAAATTCCATCGGACAATTATTTGAAAGGGAGGAAAACAGGCCAAGCTGAGAGTTTCCTAGAATGAATGATCTTATCGACTGTTCCCCTCTGCCTGGAAGCCTCTTTGAGTCAGGCTTCTGCAAGGCTGGCTCCTTCAGGTCCCAGCTCAGGTGGTTCTACCTCAGAAAGCCCTGCCCTCACCATTGCAATAGATGTTACATCTTCAGCAAACTCCCTTCTCCTCTGCCACTCTTATATCACCCTCTTTTATTTTAATTTCTATTACTTACCACTGCCTGAAATTATAAGTTCCTGTCTTTGTCCATCTCTTCCTCAGTAGTGTAAGCTCAATGACAGCAGGAACCTTAATTATCTTCGTCATGATTTGTCCTCACAGTCCAACACAGTGTCTGGCATAGAGCTTGATGGTTACCTATTTGAATGAGTCCGTTGAGATTCTAATGTATAGTGTAGATGCTTCAACCACAGCGTCTCCAGCTTTAGGGCATTAATACTTTTTAAAGTTTTAATTACTTTATTTATTTTTTGAGATAGAGTCTCGCTCTGTTGCCCAGGCTGGAGTGCAGTGGCGCCATCTCAGCTCACTGCAACCTCCACCTTCCAGGTTCAAGAGGTTCTCCTGTCTCAGCTTCCCAAGTAGCTAGAATTACAAGTGCCCACCACTATACCTGGCTAATTTTTTTTTTTTTTTGTATTTTTGGTAGAGATGGGGTTTTTGTCATGTTGGCTAGGCTGGTCTCAAACTCCTGACCTCAAGTGATCTGCCCACCTCAGCCTCCCAAAGTGCTGGGGTTACAGGCATGAGCCACTGTGCCCAGCTTTTTTTTTTTTTTTTTTTTGACAGGATCTCACTCTGTTGCCTAGGCTGGAGTGCAGTGGTGCGATCATGGCTCGCTGCCACCTCAATCTTCTGGGCTCAAGTGATCCTCCCACTTCATCTTCTCAAGTACCTGGAACCACAGCTGTGTACCACCACGGCCAGCTAATTTTATTTTTATTTTTTTGTAGAGATAGGGTCTCCTTATGTAGCTCAGGCTGGTCTCAAGTTCTTAGGCTCAAATGATCCACCCGCCTCAGCCTCCCAAAGTGCTGGAATTACAGGCATGAGCCACTGTGCCTGGCTGATATTAATACTTTTAAAAGTTTTAATACCTTAATAGCTATAGAGCTTTAAGTAGTTTTGTCTCTAAGCCATTGATCATAATGTTCTCCACCCAAGTAGTCCTTTTCTGTCTTTTGCATTTGTCTTGCTACCCTGCATGATCAGGTTAAAGACTTTTTCCTATGAAACCTTCACCGTCTCTCCAAACTGACAGTGATTAGTTGATCAGTTTCTCCTCTGTGCCCTAGGCTGTAAGTAGGTAACACCTCTTTGTTCCTCAGACTATATTCATGTAATCAGCACTCAGTAACTATTGACTTATCAGTGACTTTTGTGGAATACTCATGGGGGCTGAATCAATGATTAATCAAAGCTACATTTGTCTTAAAATTTTTGTTTAACAAACTAATATAATGCTTATTATGTGCAAGGCGCTGTTCTATGTACCTTAAAACAATCCTAGTAGATAGTTAATATTGTTGCCATCATTCTACAGATAGGTAGACTGAGGCACAGAGAGGTCAAGTAACTTGCCCGAAGTCACAGAGCTCATAAGTGGCAGAGCTGGGACTTAAACCAGGCAGTTTGGACCAGAGTCTACTCTTAACCATTACTGCATGCTGGCTGTCTCATTATCTGCCACTGTTGTTCTAAATGTAAATGGCTTATTTAAATGTAGATTACCCAGAGCATCTCACTGTACCTTAGGCACTAACTTCTCGGTACAATAGGTCTTCAATCTCAGTTATTTTAGTGATCTGTTCTCATGCTGACTGACAAGGGCCATTGGACGGAGCAGCCTCCTTTTTTCGTTGTTATTGAAAAACAGAAATTACTTTTGTCTTTTTTGAGTTTCACTCTGTTGCCCAGGCTGGAGTGCAGTGGTGCGATCTTGGCTCACTGCAACCTCCGCCTCCCAGGTTCAAGCGATTCTCCTGCCTCAGCCTCCCGAGTAGCTGGGATTACAGGCACCTACCACCACACCTGGCTAATTTTTGTACTTTTAGTAGAGATGAGGTTTCACCATGTTGGACCAGGCTGGTCTCAAGCTCCTGACTTCAAGTGACCCACCCACCTCAGCCTCCCAAAGTGCTGGGATTACAGGCATGAGCCCCCACACCCAGCTGATAAGTTACTTTCTAGACAAGATAATATTTCAATTGACAAGAAGATGAGAAAGAAATCAGAGCACAAGAAAGTCATCCAGTAATTGTGAAGAACATTGTGGTGATAGCTTTGTTGTTCTGTCACTGGATTATGGTTTGTTTTGGTTGTGTTTGGTTTTGTGGGAGGCTTCCCACAAGTTTGCTCTTTGGAGAAGGAATGCTCTTATCTTTAATCTGTCCAATTTCCTAATCTCTGTGATTTCTGCCCCGCAGTGAGTTTTGAAGATTGCACCGGTCGACAAAGGACAGCCTATTTTTCCCTCGACACCCGATTCAAAGTGGGCCCAGATGGTGTGATTACAGTCAAAAGGCCTCTACAGTTTCATAACCCACAGATCCATTTCTTGGTCTACGCCTGGGACTCCACCTACAGAAAGTTTTCCACCAAAGTCACGCTGAATACAGTGGGGCACCACAGCCGCACCCCGCCCCTTCATGTATGTTGGCATTTTTCTGAGAAGTTCGCTGTTGTTTTAGTGCGCTGTCTGATCCAGGTTTCTCAGCCTTGGTACCGTTGCCATTTTGGACTGGATGATTTTGTGTTGCAGGGGTTGTCCTGTGCACCATGTAGGATGTTTAGCAAGCATCCCTGGCCTTAACTGGGTAGACACCAGTAGCACTTCCACCACTTGTGACAACCCAAAGTGTCTCCACATGTTGCCAATGGCCCCTGGGGGGACAAATCAGCCCCAGTTGAGAGCTCTTGGTCTAAATGAATAATTCTTGCTGGGGTTTTTGGGGTGTGGGGATCAGGTAGTGTAGAAGAGTGGTAAAGGCCTGGACACCGTCTGGGACTGAATCTCAGCCGTGCCATTTACTATTTGGGTAACGTTGGAGGAATTATGTCACCTGTCTATGCTTGAGCTTCTTTATCTGTAAAATGGAGATAATAGTGAGGATGGAATTAATTAATGCATGTGAAATGCTAAAAGTACGCAAGGCATAATTAGTCATTGTTAGCTATCTTTACAACTCCCCTCCTGGGGGAAGAAGAATGAATGAGAGCTGCATTCTTCTTCTCTCTCTCTCTCTCTTTTTTTTTTTAAAGACGTAGTCTCACTCTGTGGCCCAGGCTGGAGTGCAGTGGTGCGACTCACAGCAACCTCCACCTCCCCAGTTCAAGCGATTCTCCTGCCTCAGCCTCCTGAGTAGCTGGGATGACAGGTGCCCGCCACCACACCCGGCTAATTTTTGTATTTTTAGTAGAGGCAAGGTTTCACCATGTAGGCCAGGCTGGTCTTGAATTCCTGACCTCAAATGATCTGCCTGCCTCGGCCTCCCAAAGTGCTGGGATTACAGGAGTGAGCCACCGTGCCTGGCCGAGAGCTGGATTCTCTGATCATTTTGCTTTTTGTGCTTCCAGTAAGAAAAGTCTTGGCAAAGCAAGAGAAGAAGCAGTGGGCAGCTCTTGCCCCATTAGACTGTAACCTCCACAAGACCCTTTCCCATGGTATTTGCAGTGCCTGGCCTTAGGTCTGGCCCATACCAGGAACAGACAAACAGATGAATTGGCCATGAATGGAAGGATGGATGGATGTCTGCCTAGGTTCTTGGCAGGAATGTTTCTAGGGGTTGTTAATCGAAGCGAGTTTCTCAAGTGCTCCCGTGGTGCTTCCTATCGAAATGTCTCTCTGGGGGATGTTCTGGTTGTGTCCTGCTTACTGCTTTGGAAGTGTGGAATGTGTTGTAAGTGCCAGGCCCAGTAAGGTTGGCATCTTCTTTTCTCCCTGAAGACTCTTGATATTCTTGGAACTTAATGGTCCTCCTGATCTGATTTTTCTCCCTGGTGTAATTAGACCAGAAAAATGAGGAGTCTAATACTATAGGACTATATTAACATAGCTCCTTGACTCAGAGTCTCCAAGGGACCCCATCATTCATGTGAAAAAATTTCAGCACAGTGAGTCCTTGCCAAGCAGCTGTGTGTGGAAGCCTCTTATGATCCAGAGACAGTTTTATTTTATTTTTTTAGAGACAGAGTCTTGCTCTGTCTCCTAGACTGGAGGGTAGTGGTGCAATTTCGGCTCAAGGACATTTCTGCCTCCCGGGTTCAAACAATTCTTCTGCCTCAACCTCTCAAGTAGCTAGGATTATAGGCACCTGCCACCACGCCTGGCTAATTTTTGTATTTTTAGTAGAGATGGTTTCACCATGTTGGCCAGGCTGGTCTCGATCTTCCCACCTCAGCCTCCCAAAGTGCTGGGATTATAGGTTTGAGCCACTGTGCCTGGCTGCAGAGACAGTTTTGAGCTTCGGTCTTCAACTTTGCTACCACATCTCTTGAACTTTGTGTCTGCCTCCATGTCTGCTGTATCAGGATTGGGTTCAAGTACGTGTTATATAAATCTCCCAATTGTCGTGGTTTGTGCAAAATACTCTCAAGTTAAGGAAGCCCTAGGGTAAGCTGTGCCCAGTATGGAGACTTGATAGTCATCAAGAGTCCAGGTTCCCCCTTTCCTTTTTGCTCCATCATCTTCAGCACATGACTTCATCCTCAAGGAGACATCATGATCCCAGATGGCTGCTGGAGCTCCAGTCGTCATGTCTTTTTTTTTTTTTTTTTTTTTTAAATCGTGTTTATTCTAGGCAAGAAGAAGGAGAAAGGAGAAGCACAAAAATGCGTTACTTAATTATCTGTCTGCCTTTTAAGAAACCTTTGTGGAATTCTCCTCAAGCAACACTTGAGAAACACTGGCCAAAACTTAGCCTCATGACCACATCTAGCTGCACGTGCAGTCTAGGGAATGTAGTCTTATATGAATACATTTCTGGAACGTATATCCCAGAATTAGAAAATTGAGATATATATTGGAGAGATAGGTTTTTATTTTGTTTTTAATCAGGAACAAAGAATGGATATTGGGTGGTAGGTAGCAGATTCTGCCTCAGCTGGTTTGAGATTCACCTTGGTTTGTCTCTGTAGTTCAAAGGATCCTTCTGGAACCAGATGGTACTGTAATTAGATGGCAGTCTTACCTCGCTTTCAATATATATTTATTAATTTTCAACTTTTTAAAAAAACAACACATCCAGGTAACAAAATTTTTTTTTATTTTTTGGAGACAGAGTCTTGCTCTGTCACTCAGGCTGGAGCACAGTCTCGGGAGCACAGCTCACTGCAGCCTTGACCTCCCAGGCTCAAGCAATCCTCCTGCCTCAATCTTCCATGTAGCTGGGACCACAGGGTGCACCACCATGCCCAGCTAATTTTTAATTTTTATTATTATTACTTTTTTTTTTTTTTTTTTTGGTAGAGATAGGGTCTCACCTTGTTGCGCAGGCTCACTACATTTGTATAAGAATAGATCTTAGTCTCTAGTTCTTT